ACAAAAACGCATACCTTTTGCTGTTGTAGTATATGGGACTTGGATGTTAGCTCAAGATTCGAACATTTACCCTCGGCGTGGTGTTGCTACTAGTGGCAAAGCTTGTTGGCTTGACTAACCAGTTTTCTATTTGACATCAGACGGCCATGGATGACGTCAGTTGCCTACAGAGCGCCTTTTCGTGCCCGTCGGTTTCTGACCACAAGCTTCGGGAATTACACAATTGTGCATCCTATATCAAGCGCCACTTCGGACTGGGAAAAATTATAGCAGAAGACATGATACCAGGAAGGAGGGGCAGGGGCCGACTGACACGAAGATGGGCACAGGATATATGTGACTCCTTGAGTATGAAAGTACATGAGGCGGGAGAACTGGCGAGAGACCGAGTTTCTTTCAGGCAGACTGTGATGAGAGCGACAGTCTGCAAAGGACCTGCTACATGATGATGATGACATCCTACATCAGGGACAATCTACATGCTTTAGTCACGTGATGAGAAGGAGAAAACTGGAGTATATCGTGACGGTGGGAAAGCTGGAGGGGAAAAGAGACAGAGAAAGATCAAACGAGAAGATGCTGGACAGTTTGACTTCATAATATGGAAGATCGTCTTTGATAAAACTGATTGAAAATACACGAGATAGAAGACTGTGAATGGACATGGCTACAGATCACTCGCTCCCAGAGGACTCTTACAGCATTTAGCTTGGCAAGCACCAGTTCACTACCAAGGAGTGCCGAACTAGCAATCTGCCTGTTCGTTTCCCAAAACACCAATAAGACCTGCACAATATATTTAAAGGACGCTTACTATCCGGGACCTCTGAGGCAATGCTTGCCACTCTGATAGGCACCTTGAGCCTCCCCCAACAATTTTAATGGCTGCCTACCCCGTCCCCACAACCCCCCTCCACCAGGCAATAATTTGTAAGGGGGGCCTTGTCCAGAAAATATCGCAAGGGGACCAAGTGTCCCTCCCCTTCTTTTTCACTCTTTTACTTTTCATATTTTTAAATTTTTTTTTTTTGAATATATCATCATATTTATTTATCATTCAGCACTTAACGATTATGATGATGATGATAATAATAATAATAATATTAATAATGATAATAATAATAATAGTTTTATTTGCGATTACAGGCTGTATACTCAGACAGAAAAAAATATGGTTGTTCGTCTACTTCTGTACACAACTGTTACTATTATTATTGTATACTTAAGCAAGGCTTAAGCACCTTGAGCTCCTTGAACCTAAAATATTATAAGGGGATTGATTTCCAAACCCCAGTAACTTCTTTATGGCGGCGCCCCTGTTCATCTTCTTCTTCTCTCTAGCGCCTATTCTATCTTTCAGCGTCAGGTTTTGGTGAAGTATCTACTGTGATTCCGAGACAAGGGGAACAATGATCCCATCCGATAGAATGTGGAAACAACACCACCAGACACTACTGAAAAACAGAAGATCACATAGTTTGGTCATGTAGAATGTAGCCACAAAACTGCCAACACAGTCACTAGACATATAAAGATCCGATGTGAAAGCTAGAGGTCGTCCTAGGAAAACCGGACGTCAATCAAGACATTCCGCAACGGCACGGGATGACAGTAGCCATGGCTACCCATCATGCAATGGATCGTAAACCGTTTCTTCTCTCGACGTTTAACTACACACGGGGAATGTGATGATGATGAGGATGATGATAATCTTTTGTGAGCTTTGGTGTTGGCTACTTGGATGCTGTCACTCACGGCTTCAGATACTGAACCTGTTCTGTAGATCTCCGTTGTGTCATAGTCTAGTGGAATAGTGGCAGTGAATCTGAAAAGATTCCAAATGAAAGAGTTGCTGAAAGAAACGAAAAGAGACAATTAAAATGTTTTGACCCTTTTAAAAGACATAAAACGCTTTTGAAAACCACAATGGAAGAAGGATCGACTGCAAGAAAGCAAGAAGTAGACAACGATACACGTGGGAGGAGAACACAGAGATGGACGAACGGCAGTTTGAGAGACCGAACAGCCAAGACAAGAAAGTGTTAGAGATTCATCACAGCCAACCTTCACTGTGAAGACGGCTGCTGATTGGTTTACATACAGCATAGAATTCTTTTACACACTTGTCTGTACACATTGTTTGTCCGGGGCTAATTAACTAGATAGCAGCTGTCATCTACACCCATATGGTTACCTGTACAGGATAGGCATAAAAGAATCTAGTGCCTGTGATTGTGGAGCAGAAAGACAGACCCCTGAGCACATACTGCAGTACTTCCCTTACCTCTCCCAGCAAAGACTGTGGATCTGGCCCAGGGGATCCACATTGCGAGGGGGGACCGGTGGCGACCTTAAACGCACAGTCCTATTTTTGACCCAGACGGGACTCAATGTGTAGCATGACTGATGTCGAACGCAGAAGAAGAAGAAGAAGAACCCGTATGGTTGCCCTTCGTCTGGATACATTAGTCTCAGAGCCGAAATCACTGCCGCCCTACCCTGTCAGGACTTGAGGTTACTTAGTAACTGCCGGGTGCCTAAATATAACATTACAGCTGAAGGAGGTTTCTGGGATTTGTACCTGGCGGGATTCTCATTCGAATAATGACACTTTGCACTTGCTTTATTGATTACACTGAAGCATTTGATAAACTGAAACATGATGGAATTATTAGAATTTTGGAAACTCTAAACGTTGATGGTTGAATGTTGAATAAGGAATCGACATCACAGCACTCAGGACACTCCTATAAGCGCTCTGTTCCCATCTTCAGCAGCAAGCGAAGAGTTAAAATTCCGATGGTACCAGTACCAGTCTGATTGTATATCCGTCTCGCCCCTCAGCTGAGTGTCGAATGTCGGCCAGATCCCCTTGTAACTCCTCGCAGTGCCATTCTCCTCAGACCGTAATGGTCTATCTGCTCCTCGGCACTGTTCACTCGCTCCCAAAGCGCCCTCACAACATAAAGCTTGTCATATATCAGTTCACCACCAAGTGGTGCAGAACCGGCCAGTCTATCCGCCTGCTCATTCCCCAACACACGGGCGTGACCTGAAGAAAATATCCAAAGGATGCTAAAGCCCATATACGCAAAATCACCACCTGCGAGATGAGGTGCCTGAGAAAAGCAGCCAACCTAACCATACGAGATCGAGTGAATAATGAAACTATCAGGCAAATTGTGGGAACGACACCCTTTACTAGATTCATCGAGAAACAGCATATCTGACCAAATTAACAGATAACAGGTAGTATCGACTACTATTATACTGTAGCTGAGTCATATCTGACCAAATTAACAGATAACAGGTAGTATCGACTACTATTATACTCATCATCATCATTATCTTAAACCACGTCTGCCGCTAAGCGCCGTGGGGAGGAATAATTGGCGATCCAGTGCACGTTGGCTGCCACTGGCTATTGTCATACCGTGAAGGCATAGAGTGTCTTTAATGTTGTCGATCCATGTTTTCCGCGGCCATCCTCTTGCTCTTGTAGTTGATCTTCTGAGATGTAGTGCTTGTGATGGTATTTGATTTTGCTGCATTCTAACGAGATGGCCAAATCACTTTATCTGCTGTTTCTCGATGAATCTAGTACAGGGTGTCATCCCCACAATTTGCCTGATAGTTTCATTATTTACTCGATCTCGTATGGTTAGGCTGGCTGCTTTTCTCAGGCACCTCATCTCGCAGGTGGTGATTTTGCGTATATGGGCTTTAGATAGTGTCCATGTTTGGCACTTAATGTTGGAATGAATATGCTATTAATAATCTGTCTCTGCACTCGTAGTTATGCTTGGATGTCTTAATAATGGTGACAATTGGTATATAAGTACACTTGCTTTCTGACATCTGGTTTCTATTTCTCTGTCAATTCTACCATCTTCTGTGATCATACTTCCTAGATATTTTAACTCCCTAACTTGATTCAGGGCAGAACCATTCAGCTGTATGTGTAGTGGGGCAGGGGTTCTACTAACTTGCATCGTTTCTGTTTTGTTTACATTAATCTTCATGATGTATTTACTACATGCTGAGTTTAAACTGTTAATGTGGTCTTGTAGTCTATGTTCTTCAGGGTAGAACAAGCACTGGTCGTCAGCAAATAGTAGTTCGTTTAATGTGGGTGAATCGATTACTTCTCCTGATGTGATTATACAGGTTTATGTTGTCTGTATCATAACTTGCTTCTTTAGATATTCTGTCTATATAGATGTTAAATAAAAGTGGGGAGAGCACACATCCTTGTCTCACACTTGCGTTGACTTTGAACATATCTGATTTGCCTTCGTGTGTTTTTACTGCACTTTGGCTTGTACTGTAGCCCAGTCATATCTGACCAAGTTAACAAATAACAGGTAGTATCGACTACTATTATACGCTAGACCAGTCATATCTGACCAAGTTAACAAATAACAGGTAGTATCGACTACTATTATACGCTAGACCAGTCATATCTGACCAAGTTAACAAATAACATGTAGTATCGACTACTATTATACGCTAGACCAGTCATATCTGACCAAGTTAACAAATAACAGGTAGTATCGACTACTATTATACGCTAGCCCAGTCATATCTGACCAAGTTAACAAATAACAGGTAGTAACGACTACTATTATACGCTAGCCCAGTCATATCTGACCAAGTTAACAAATAACATGTAGTATCGACTACTATTATACGCTAGCCCAGTCATATCTGACCAAGTGAACAAATAACAGGTAGTATCGACTACTATTATACGCTAGCCCAGTCATATCTGACCAAGTTAACAAATAACAGGTAGTATCGACTACTTTTATGCGCTAGCCCAGTCATAGCTGACCAAGTTAACAAATAACAGGTGGTATCGACTACTTTTATGCGGTAGATCACCCGTGCAATACACACACACTTTTCAGTAAACAGAAATTATAAATAGCTGAGAAGTCGTGCATCAGAAATAACTGGACTAGAGAGCATACCACTTTTAACAAAACGGCATTTTATTATCAGCAAACTTGTCTATCATTAGCTGCCCGTCTGCAAGACCAGCTTCCGTCGTTGTAGCACACGCATGCGCGTCTGGTGCAGTTTTCCACGTGAAAGAAGACGCGAGAGTAATGGGTTCGCTCACCTACACGGCATCCTGTGGAAAAGATAGAATTGATGTGACGATGTTATACCTTTCTGTAACTGACTGTTGTTGTTTAACAATGACTTACTCAGAAAGGGTGAACATTAAATTAAGCATTTGGAGGATACAAAGTGTAAATAAGTTTTACACAAATATAATTACTATAATCACAAAAAGGACATAACGGTGATCAAGGCAGGTAAGCAAATAAGAAGATTAAGAAACAAAACATAGTTCTTCTCCGACGAAAAGTTTTGGTTGTTCGTCCACTTTGGGACTTTGGTCTTGTTCGACAACTCAAGTTTTGCGTGCACATCCGTTTCACACATCCAGCTTATGTATGGCTTGCTTTTTAGGCAGTGGATCTATGTTTTCCCCAACCCTTTTGATGTGGGCAGTTAGGTCTTTTCTAGGGTTAGTTTCTTGAAAGCAAAGCACAAACAATATATTGTACCAATGGGTTACGCTATTCCTATCTGCCCCAGTATGGGGCTGAATTCTGTGTTATTTTAAAACACTAGTAGGTAAGTGCACGAGTAGGTATGTAGACAGACAAGCAGAAAAAAAAAAAAGGGGGGGGGGGTACACTGAAAGTTAAAAAAGTGGACAGGGAGGTAAAGACTGGACAGATAGAAGGACCAGTAATTAATTTCACAAACAGCATGGGGGGAGCAAGCATATGAGTTGACAGCGAGAAAAGTAAACGGACTGGTGGAGAAGTTAGTAAGTAGACAGACAGACAGACAGACAGGTAAGGGCCAGACAGACAGACAGACAGACAGACAGACAGACAGACAGGCAGATAAGTAATTCGACAGTCAGGTAGGGAATAAATGGACTGACAAGTAGTTAAGCTGGCCGACAGAGTAGCAGACGGGTGGAAAAGTAGATAGAGAGGTAGGGAGGTAGACGGACGTACGAACTAGTAGGTAAGTAGACAGAGAGGCAGGGAGGTAGACGGGCAGACGGACAAGTAGGTAAGTAGACAGAGAGATAGAGAGGTAGACGGAAGGACGGACGGACAAGTAGGTACGTATACTGACGTCAGGTAGAGAAGTAGACAAAAAGACAGATTAGTAAGTTGACGGATAGGGAGGGATCTAGACAGACAAAACATTTAGGCTATGTGGGTGGATGAAGAGTTAGGTAAGTAGACAGACAGAGAGGTAGGCAGTGAGACTGACAGCTGGGTAAGAAACAAGCAGAGACACTTACAGGCAGGTAGGTAGACGGCGGACAGGAAGGTAGTTGGGTAATCAGACAGATAGACAGAGAGGTAGGTAGACGGACAAGTGGGCAGACATATTCAGTCGATACATTACGATTCATGAAGCCAGATTTTCCCGCTGTGACAGACATCACGAAATAATCACGTGAACTTAACATAGTAAATTCACTACCTTTTCTGTCATTTGGTGATGTCCCATCAGGCCCACGGCAAACATTCTGGAAGAAACTGGTCGGACAGTTTGGTATCCCGTTACACTGGCAGAAACATGTCACTTGGTAGCAGCCAATCTTTTTGGTGAAGGAGGCCAGAGCTTGAATTCTCTTTCCATCCTCCTGACAGTATTTGCATCCGGGAACTTGACTGGATATAATTCCATCTTCGTTTTCTTTTGCAGGGAGAGTTGGTCGAACTCTGGATTCTGTATTCTTTACTATTTTATTGCTTGTCTGAAATTCTGATCTGATATCTGGACGGCAATTATACCGACGGCTTTCAGCGGGGCAGTCATATGAGCCGTTACAGAAACAATGACAACTGTACTGAAAGCATTGAGAATTAATGTGAAAGTCTCTTTCTGATATGTAGACATCGCCATCTACTAAACAGCTCTTGCAGTTGTCTTGGACATTGTCTTTTGTGGCTACTTTGCAAATGTCAACTTTGCTTTGTTTGCACGACCATGACCCGTCGCAGTGGCATTCACACACTCGCTGGCTACATCCATCTCGCAACACAAACTTCGATCTTTTAGCATAGCTAACTCCACGAATTTCACAACCAACGCAGGTGTATGAGGATTTGAAAGATTTAGAACTGCTGTGGTAAGTTTTTACAACAGATTCTGAAGATTTATGACCCCGCTTTAAATTACCATTGTCCCCAACTCCTTGATCTGAGAAAGAACCGTCTTCTTTGAGATGTGCTCTCTTACCTCTAAGGATACTAGGACCTGTCAAACGCCTAGTGCTTGTTTGAAGCGTCAGTGATCTCTTGAACCTAGAAGATGATGTTTCTCTCAGGGGTGAATCGTTACCTTCTGACGTCGTTAAGGTTTCATTTGATGAACACGTATTTTTGATTTCGGCACACTGCCATCGACCATTACAATAGCATTTGCATGTCCGGTACTCGACACAGCCTCGGAGAAGAACGAATTCCTGGTCAACATTGATATCTTTACCATCAACATGACATGGTTGACATATTCTACTGTCTGCATCCGGCATTACCGTTGTGTTGATGCTTTTGCTGGTGTTCGAGATTATACTGCGATAACCATCTGTCTCTTGGACCTGAATGTCAGGTTCCATAATCGTATTCCCGGAGATAGAACCCTCTGATAAGATTTGTATCGGGGCTGGAACTTCGATGCTCACAGCCTGCCTAACCGCGCTACCGGTAGAAACTAACGGACGTTCAGTAACCGCTTGCTCACTGCAGACATTTGTCAGGTTTTGGGTATCGCAAGACCAACGTCCGGAGCAATTACAGAGGCAGGAAAACTGGAAACATCCTCTGTTAAACTTGAATTCTGAGTTATATGGAAATACTTTGTCAGAGATCCTACACAGCTTGCACCTGGCAGACACTGTTGCATCTCTACGATCTTCTGTACACATAGAAAATGTTTTCTCTGGTGGACATTCCCAACTGCCATCACACATACACCTGCATTCGAATCTAAAGCAATGTCTGTTAAGGATAAAAGTGGAGTTCCCAGCAAAAACTTCTGTAGCAGAAACTGTGCAAGGTCTGCAGACAGGTGTTATTACTTGAGCGCCAGCCTGGCAAACCCTTGTTGCTGTCTCCCCTGGGCAGTTGAAGCTTCCGTTGCAGTTGCACCGACATTTGTAGCGCACACAGTCTCTTGTTGTCTCAAAGTAGGAAGCTCCGCGATAGAATTCCGTGTCAGAAATCAGACAAGATTTGCATCCACCCGGCACCTCCCCCTTGCAGACATCACGTGCGTCTCTGCCAGGACAAGACCAGCTACCGTCGCACTGACATCTACACTTGTAGCTTACACAGCCCTGTCTGAAATGAAAGAAGGAACTGGCGCGGTACATTTCTGTGTCTGAGACTCTGCAGACTCTACACCCGCCAGGGAACTCTCCCAAACAAACATTTCTGGAAGTTTCTGCAGGGCAATGCCAGCTGCCGTCACAGTGGCACCTGCAGTTATAAAAAACGCAGCCTTTTTGTAACACAAAATCTGTGTCCCCTTTGTGAATGTTCGTGTCAGACAACACACACGTTCTGCATCCTCCCAGGATCTCTCCCCGGCATACATTTCTGGCTTCTTTGCCAGGACAGAAGTAGCTGCCGTCGCAATTACAACGACATTTGTATTGTAAGCATCCCTGCTCTAGAATAAACTCCGTCTCTCCTTGGTAGATTAGACTTCCGGTAACGTGGCAAGATTTACATTCTTGACTTCTTGTCTGTGTACATGTGTCCCTTGTTGCGTCTTCTGGGCACGACCAGCTTCCATTGCAGTGACAACTGCATGTGTATTCTAGGCATCCTGTCTTGTGGACGTACTGTGTATTGCTGGGGACGATCTGCCCATCCACGTCACACTGCAGACATTTATCTTCACACACCCAGCGGTTGTAATCCGCGGGACAACTCCAACTCCCGTTGCAGAAACACATGCAGGTGTGTTGGACGCAGTCGTCTGTGAGTGTGAACCAGGTGTTGGGTGGGTGTACAACATCAGGACTCGGTTGACATACTGAACACTTGTCCACTCCAACAGTGGCGTTTCCAGAACAAACATCCTCTACTTTTTCAGTAGAACAATTCCATTTGCCTGTACATTCACACTGGCATGACGAATACAGAGTGCACCCATCTGCAAGTTCGAATGAAGACCCGCCTCTGATAATTTTTCCTTTAGCAATACAGCTGGAGCAAGCAATATTCACGTTTGTTCTGGAGAGTTCTTTTTCATAAGTGTCATTGCAAATATATTTTGCAAACTGTGGCGGGCATTCCCAAGAACCATCACATCGACACAAACAATTCTTGTACTCAACGCATCCGGCAGTCAACTCAAACAGACTGTTCCCTATCACAACTTTGCCGCGGGCATCACAAAATGAACACTGGTTGTCGGCAAGATGCGCGCTTGCTGCAGTCTCATTGACATTCGTTGTGTATGTTCTTTCTTCCAGATTTCTGCTACCAGAGGCTTTCAATGTTTCGTTGCTGCAGATGTTGATTGCAAAGCGATCATTGCAGCTCCACGACCCGTCACATCTGCACACACATTTCCGATAACTCGTGCATCCATAGACAACATCGAAGTTATTACCTCCCCTGAAATATTTGTCGTATGCAAAGCAAGATAAGCACCTAGTTTCAGAAACTTCTGGGTCGCCGATACCAGTGAGTTCCAATAACATTCCTTTACGTTTATCGCAAACATCTCTCGTCGAATCTTTTGGACAATACCACGACCCATTGCAGTGACACACGCAATCTTGGTATTCAGTGCAACCGTTTTTCACGTGAAAATACTGATTGGGCGGAAATACTGAACCATAAGCATTGCATGTTGCGCAAAAAGACGTGCTGTTATCTGCCTCGCTTGGAAGCCCACATACATTTCTGACAGCGTCTTTGTCACAAGACCACGAACCATTACATTGGCAGACACAGCGCCTATATTCGATACAATTTTCTGTTAGGTGAAATAACTCATTTGCATGAATAGTTTTGCCTTGAACGTTACAGTGGTTGCAGATCGATTCGGGCGTTTCAATGAGATTAGCAGTATTTCCCCGGGTACAATTTCTGATAGGTTTCTTTTCTTGGCATGCCCATGAGCCATCGCAGTAGCAAGCACAATGTGTGTACTCTATGCAGTCATCAGACATTTGAAAGAATCCATTTCCTGGAAAAGTCCGACCTTTCACAGAACATGATCCACATGCAGGCCTAACTGTCGTAGAAGTTTCAAGGGTGTCAGGTTCGCAAATGTTTTCAACAAATCTTTCAGGACAGGTCCAAGTTCCGTTGCAGAAACAAGTACAGTAACTCAGCTTACGACATCCTTCCACGAATTCAAAGTAATTGTTACCCTTGATGGTCTTGCCCCCTGCAGTGCAGTTAAGGCATTTTGGGAGAACACGGCTGTTGCCTTTCGCATCATCATTTCGTTGTAAACTTACGCTACCGTTATCACCACCACCAGTGGTCAGCTGACCCAAATCCTGCTGTTTTTTCAGCTGAATGTTTTCAGCCCTTGACCCAAATGCTTCATTGGGCACTTTTGGGGTTTCTTCAAAGCAAACTCTTGAAGCTGTTTCTTCGGGACATACCCAGGATCCATTGCAATAACAGAAGCAGTTTCTAAAAGCGATGCATTCGTCAACGAAAGAAAAATACGAATTTCCTGGATATTTGTCGCCGTTAAGCAAACATCTACTGCAGCTGTGGTCGTCGACATCTGGTGAAAATGAAAACGTCGGGGACGATTCCTTGGATGGGACATCAGAGACTGAAACTGTCGATGGTTGAGAAGGCTGATGTTGACAGAGGTTGATGACATGTCTGGCGGGACATTCCCAGGATCCGTTACACCTGCAGACACAGCGGTACCTGGAGGAAAGACAGGAATGACGTAGCTGTCACCACATAAGTGTATAACATAATCATGTGCCAATCGAAACAATGTGTGTCTCATTCAGGTAATTGCAGTTCCAATTCATAGCAAAGGGTCACCCCATAGTTGCTCAAATTCTGTGTCAACGAAAACCACACGGAATGCCTATCACTGTCCACTGTAAACACAAATTTACACAGACCAGACTAGGTAAATCCAACAGATGCGGGCGCATTAAATACATTAAATGCATAAGGCTGCAGCCAGTACCGCCAACACAGCCAGACACTAGAACTGCTGTTTATCATTCATGGAAGTAGCAATTACAGCAGATCAGTAGTTACACACGCAGTTAATCGCATTAGGCACAAATTCTCTGGTAATAGGCCACTTGCAATTTTCCGAATCTGCAGTTTACAATACAAACTACATTGGGCACAGTCATAAAGCCTTCCAAATGAAATCCATAGCTGACAGTATTGCGCCATGCACTAAACAAAGTTGTTGGTCGATGTAACTATTTTATCATTCTGTTAGAGTTAGAGGACCAACTCCATTGCTCTAGGTTTTATCCCAAATGGCTCGGTCTTTTTCGGCAAAACAGCTAGCTACCTGCCAAGCGCATCGCATGGAGCACTTAGTAACTCATGTAATGATTCCCATGCATCGTTTTGGAATACACTAACTACACACGTGATATAAACGATGCAGTCTGTAAAACGAATATACGACCTTCAGGGCAAGAAGCAAAAGGCTTGACCACTTCAGCACAGTAACCCCCAAACTCATTCAATACCAGCAAACCTACCAAACGTTTATTTCTCTTTTTTTTTTTTTTTTTTTCTGAACAAAAGAATTCTCTCTTGAACCTCTTGTTCCCTCTTATACTACCACTTAGTAATGACCATAATTTCCGTTTTCTTGCAGTATAACCACAAATCTAGTTGCTTGTTGTGTGCATTGATGCTACCCTAACTGCTGCAGATCCTATTCGTTGTCTGCAATCAGTAGCGCGCCAAACTGGCATGATTCTACACAACCGTCATCTTTTAAACTCTCTGTTTATTTATAGGAATGACGTATACACACCGGAACCTACCAATCAAATACCTTTCTTAAATGTTTGTGTATTCTAGACAAGGCAATAAGGTCTACTGTGTACGTAAATTGTTGCTGTGATTGTTATTTGACATTTGCCTCGTTAATATAAATTTCTGTAACCTATGGTGCCATTTCAATGGGTTGAATTGAATTCTGTCCGTATTCCATAGTCGTGGATTTCAAGCTGTACGATAGACATGGCCAATGAGACACCTTTTTTTGGGGGTGCCGAGTTGACCATGTATCTTAGTGCACTTGTATTCATGGCGAGGCGCAGACGCCGTCTGGAGGTGACAGGTTCAATTCCCGGCACGGTAACTATAGCTTTCGAATTTTATGTAGTCTAGTGTGTTCTTCTATCTTTCTATGAGTGCCGTTCACAATACTTTCTGTTACTTGATTAATTCATATCTTTTAAGATAATAAGCGAGAAATAGAAATGTACCTATTGCATCCTTCATCGTACTGGAACCGTGAGTGACCTTTGTAAACTGTACCCTCGACAGTGCAGTCAGTGCAACCTGAAGATGAATGACAGAATGATATGGGGGAAAAAGGGGGGGGGGTTAAATTGATAATATTGTGTGTAATGTCGTTAGTATCTGCGCATGATGTATATGTTTTTTTCTCCACCTCTAATGCAGGATGTCGACACGATAAAAGTATCAGCAGTCCTAACAGCAGAATGGCAAACATTAATCACCTCACACTGTTTACCTCTCAGCGTGTCGGTCTATTTCTTGTTCTCTCTCTCTCTCTCTCTCTCTCTCTCTCTCTCTCTCTCTCTCTCTCTCTTTCTCTGTCTCTGTCTCTGTCTGTCTCTCTCTCTCTCTCTCTCAGCCTTTCTCTCTCTCTTTCTCTCTCTGATTGTCTGCTTATCTGTCTGTCTCTTCATGTTTCGGTGACTTCTTGCTGTCTGTCTGTCTGTCTGTCTGTCTGTCTGTGTGTATATATATATATATATATATATATATATATATATATATATATATATATATATATATATATATATATATATATATATATATATATATATATATGTGTGTGTGTGTGTGTGTGTGTGTGTGTGTGTGTGTGTGTGTAAGTGTGTACGTCCGTCTTTTTATGTTTCTCTTAATCTATCTCTTTTTCTTGTCTGTCGTCTTCCCACCCTTCACCCTCACTCCACCACCCCCCCCCCCCCCCCCCCCGTTCTTTTCTGGTTTTCTGGATCTGCATGTATATCAGTGCATACATCCATAGCACTATCAAATATCTGTATGTTCATACCACAATTTCTTCTTCAGTATTCCGAGCTCTTTTGGTTCATTGCAGCAGATATCACCTACCTGAATTCATCTCTATGGCTGGCCTTCTCCGTCTTGTTGGTGGCTCTAATTGTTTGTAAGATTGACAGCATATTCTCTTTTTTCGCTGTGAATTTTCTAATTTTGAAAGTTTCCCGGCGCAGCTGCCTGTCTGGCTTGCTATTGTCAGTTATTTACTGCCAGACGGTCCTCCTAATATCCGCCCTTATCTGAGTAGTCTGTTAGTTAAATCCACTACCACAGAATCAGAGGGAAGTTTAAAGTTTTTTTCTTATAGAAAAATGTGCTGAATGACAAATAAATATAACAGACTTTAAAAAAGGGATTTGTAAAAATAAGAACTGAAAAAGAGAACTTGTATACATGGTTTAGGGGAGTGGGGGGGGGGGCAGGTTTTAGCTCTCTTACTAATATAATGGGGCGGGGGGGGGGGGGGCACAAGGTGCCTAAGCCTCCATGATCTGGTACCGCTGTTTCGCTATTAGATCTTTCTTTTGCTATTTGCCTCAGATATTAGTGTATGACTGCCTAATTGTTCTGAATTTAGAACGAGACGTTTGCCGGCACCAGAAAAGCAATGGGCCGATTCGATGTTCTCAGTGCTATCACCGAAGTAGGACGAGTATATTACTAGGGTGACAACGGCGAATCTTCCTTCGACAACACTACAAGAACTTCGTGTCAAAAGAGATGACGATAGACATGAACACTCTAAATGCAGCCAAATATGAATAGTAAACCAGCAAATAATCAGTGTTATTTATTAGTCGCTCCACGCTGAGGGAGATACTCAAGATTGGATCCGAGCGCTTATGGACGTCCAATGTGCAGTGAGAATGATCGGAACTAACTAAATTATGATGAGGCATCACTTCATTACCTGATGCCTGAGACAAGACGATGGAGGCAAGTACAATGATCCAGACACCAAACGTGTTTCCCTGAAAGAGAGTAAAGGGATTAAAGACTTTAGATGTATGTTCGGTGTTCTAGGACCTGATGTAGGAAGGAATACATTCAAAAACCTGGTGGCAGCCAGCGAGATTATTGTAAACAGTGCAAAGAGGTGTTTACTGATTGCTGATTTAAGAATTCACCGCTGTCTCCAGCCGAAGTTTTTCTTGTAGCATCTACCTCAAACTGTACTGTACTAGCAGAAGTTTTGCATGCAGCATCTACCTCGATCTGTACTGTTCCAGCAGAAGTTTTGCAAGCAGCATCTACTTCAAACAGTTCACACCTGGAGCAAATGTATCTCCACCGTGTCAAGTATTTTTTAAAGAATTACACAAAAATTCACAATGATAAGGAACTGATTTCCTCCAAACAATAGAAAACTTGACAAATCTAAATTAAATTTCATTGGTTGACACTGATTTTTGCCCTCCCCATCTAAAAACATACATGTATGTATATGTACATCCTGACTTGTATAAAGTACAGAGAAGAAATATTTAGTAGTCTATAGTATTATTATAAAAATTGCTCAGGAAGAAAAACTATTGCTTTCATACTGACTGGACATACTCATTATAAGTGGTGCAACTTCATTGTGGATACACTATATCAAGTCTCTAGGTAAGTGGAAAAACTGTCTTCATAATTTACTAACTAACCTCTCACAGAAAGTCACTTGTCTCTTTACTAATTATTACCTTAAAAGTATAATTATGTAGTGAAGCAGCGTACTAATATTAATCCTAAACCTTTTGTGTTCATTTTTGTGATTCATCTTCTGCTTTGCGATCACTGGCTGTAAACTCTGGCAGAAACTTCTGGTTGTTAATCTACTTCTGGGCTTTAGTCTTGTTCCAAACACTGTTTGTTGCATGCACATATGTTATACAGATTTGACTTAAATGTATGCAGACTGCTGTTTCTTGCCTCTCATGCAAACACATTCCGACTTCGAAGGAAGCTACATTGAGTCAACTCTTACTACATGCTCGTTAAGGGGGCGGCATGTCTGTCCTTTTCTTTTCAAATTTTTTTTTAAACAACGAGACTCAGTATCTACTTTGGGGATTTTTATGATTGATATATGTACATTTGCAGTTGTATGGTCTGTTTTAATGTGCTTCAATTGCTTTAAAAATAATATACCATTCATGATACTTATACACATTGTTGCATACAGTATTCAGAAATATGTGTCATGTATTTAAACAGTTACCAAAACATTCACAATGAAAGTGAACTGATTTCATCCAACAAGATGAAACTGGACACATTTGTTTGTGCTGTTTGTACTTTGAGGATAAATATTTAGTTGCGCTATAGTACTGTTAAAAAAGCTGCTCTGGGTGAAAAATTATTGCACATACCAATTTCAATTGACTGTGCAAAAAAAAAAAAAACTGTTTTTAAGAAAGTGAGCTGCTTGTTTACTAATTATTAACTAACAGTATAATTATATGTTATTACTAATAGTAATAATAACCATCAATCATTTATATTCATGTTATTATAATATGTGTATGTTTCACAGCAGTATTTTCAAGTGCTAAATTTGATAAAATACAGTGTACCTACCCCCCACCCTCTTTCCCCCGGCCCTCTAATGCAATACTCACTCAGAATCAAAAAGTTAGCACTAATATTTCCTTACTTTTGCTGAAATAACTTCGTTTATTTATACACGTTATTGATGTTTATGTTCATGTTGACTGTAGCAAAAGTATTTTTTGTTTGTCTGTAAGAGTCTTTATTGTTGTATTTTAATAGCCCTTTTATTTACCTTCAAAATGACATATAATTCGATAAAATATGTTGTAAGTGAATAAAATTATAGTTTAATTTGTGTATACATCTTCTCGATAAAAACTGTGAACACAGACCGGACTCCCGACTTGCACAAGAACGGGAATCCCTGTTGATCTAGTTGGCCTATAAATAGAATCCGCTGTGTAAGAATCATAGCACACCGGGCATACTCATAGATGCTCAGACTCCCGTAGCACAAGTAAGGTATACATGCTGTCTGTTCCCGTAGCACACTAATTATACACACGTCGCTCTCTTCCTCTCATGCGTCTCTCCTTGCCAGACCCACTCCTAATTCTTCGTTCACACATTCTTGCACATGTTATTTAATCTAATCTTGTATCTTTTGTCAACATTCGTTCGTATATGGTCTTCAGAATATCTCCCTTGTCCAGTATGAGTGTTCCCGTAGCTGCCGATTTTGTAGCCAGGAAATCAGCTATTTCATTCCCTCGCACTCTGCATATCCCGGACAGTATATCCACATGATTCTCTGCAATGTTAGCATACTGATGCTTGGTATCCATTCATGCTACATTAGTCCATTCTGAATGTTCCGCAGTACCGAGTGAGAATTAAACACAATAATTCATCTGGTAACTTTCTTTTCTGCTATCCAAATCAGAGCAATGGTTGCCTCCACCTCCATCCTTATGCTTGAAGGTGTATATTTGGAGTGGGAAAAAAAGTAACATTTTCTTCTGCCACAATCTTTCCCAGCATTCTAGCTAACAATCCCCAGCCAGATCTCACACCCCGATGAACAGAGCCATTTGGTGTACACTACTGCATCATCTAGCCCAGCCTTTCCATTCATAAGTTGTTTTACCTCTAATTATGCCATACCGTCACACCACTCTCTACACTCTATTCCAAATGTGACAATGACCTGATGGAAACTACAGTTGTGGGTGTTCTTGTGGACCATTCCTGCCCTCTGTGTATTTGCTAGATTGAAGCCGCCGTCTTGAGGTATCTTCAATGACTTTCCTCTTTTCAAATGGTCTCCTCGGCAGTGTTGCCACTTTTCTTTGACAAAAAAAAATATCCAAAACGGAGTCAAAAAATATCTAACAACATCTAAATTTGCGTGGAAAACATCTAAAAAACATCCAAATAGAAAGAGTCACAAATTACATAGCTATTGATATGACTTACCCTTTAGAATCATGTCCTCATCTTTACCATCGTCACTGAAGTCTGCCTTACAAGATCCACATGATAAACTTAGCTTGGATGAAGAAGTTGAAGCTTCAGGTCCAACATGACTCTGGAATGCCTTAGCTGTTCCAATTTTTTTTAATACACAATTAGGGAGTTGATAAGTGTAACAACATTTTCCTACTCTTATCAGGCCGAAATTTATTGTCAAGACAGCATTCAAGAGGTCAAATTTTGTCCCGTTTCTAAGGTTATATTTGATAAATTCGCTCCAGATGAAAAACATCTAGAAAAACAGATACCATCAACGTCAAAAAACGCTATCTAAATGCAAGGGAAAACATCTAAATCAGGATGTAAAATATCCAAAGTGGCAACACTGCTCCTCAGATTACATGCAGCGGATGCCTTTTATCATTGGTAACTCTCATGTAGCATAGGCTTGCACTAGTGACAGTCTTGACTTTACCAATGTCAGCCCAAACAAATGTCTTATTGTTCTAATTTGTGTATCTCGTATGCAACCCAAGACGATTCTCATGCCTTCCTTTTGAATCCCTTCAAGCTTTGTACACTGTGGAGTAGATAGGGTTAATATTCCTAGGCCATAATCAATAACTGAAAGGACCAAATGATTCAACAATAAGACCAATAATCTCTGTTCCATGTGTGTCGCCACCATTGTTTTCAGTACTACAAGGCCACTCTTGCATTCGATCACAGTTTGCTCCATGTGGTATCTGTAGGACAGACTGCGAAAAAACGTTAAACATAAGTATTTCAGCTTATCTCTTCTTTCAACATTTATTACCCTTCATGGATATTCTGGGCAAGTCATCCTTTCCAATGCTGTTATTTAAGGAGGAGTATAAAACGCCGGTCTTCTCTGTGTGTACCCTTGATCCTGTCTATTCACACCACGCTGTCATCTCATGCAAAACGCTGTATAAGTCTCTGGTCATATCATACCACTCTGACCGACATATCATGCAATACACTGTGTGAGTCTTTGGTCATATCATACCATACCGACTGTCATCTCATGCAAAACGCTGTGTAAGTCTTTGGTCATATCATACCTCTCTGACTGACATATCATGCAATACACTGTGTAAGTCTTTGGTCATATCATACCTGTCCGACTGTCATCTCATGCAAAACACTGTGTAAGTCTCTGGTCATATCATACCTGTCCGACTGTCATCTCATGCAAAATGCTGTGTAAGTCTTTGGTCATATCATACCTGTCCGACTGTCATCTCGTGCAAAACACTGTGTAAGTCTTTGGTCATATCATACCTGTCCGACTGTCATCTCATGCAAAACGCTGTATAAGTCTTTGGTCATATCATACCTGTCCGACTGTCATCTCATGCAAAACACTGTGTAAGTCTCTGGTCATATCATACCTGTCCGACTGTCATCTCGTGCAAAACACTGTGTAAGTCTCTGGTCATATCATACCTGTCCGACTGTCATCTCGTGCAAAACACTGTGTAAGTCTCTGGTCATATCATACCTGTCCGACTGTCATCTCGTGCAAAACACTGTGTAAGTCTTTGGTCATATCATACCTGTCCGACTGTCATCTCGTGCAAAACACTGTGTAAGTCTTTGGTCATATCATACCTGTCCGACTGTCATCTCGTGCAAAACACTGTGTAAGTCTCTGGTCATATCATACCTGTCCGACTGTCATCTCATGCAAAACACTGTGTAAGTCTCTGGTCATATCATACCTGTCCGACTGTCATCTCGTGCAAAACACTGTGTAAGTCTCTGGTCATATCATACCTGTCCGACTGTCATCTCATGCAAAACACTGTGTAAGTCTCTGGTCATATCTTACCGTACCGACTGTCATCTCGTGCAAAACACTGTGTAAGTCTCTGGTCATATCATACCTGTCCGACTGTCATCTCGTGCAAAACACTGTGTAAGTCTCTGGTCATATCATACCTGTCCGACTGTCATCTCATGCAAAACACTGTGTAAGTCTCTGGTCATATCATACCTGTCCGACTGTCATCTCGTGCAAAACACTGTGTAAGTCTCTGGTCATATCATACCTGTCCGACTGTCATCTCATGCAAAACACTGTGTAAGTCTCTGGTCATATCATACCGTACCGACTGTCATCTCGTGCAAAACACTGTGTAAGTCTCTGGTCATATCATACCTGTCCGACTGTCATCTCGTGCAAAACACTGTGTAAGTCTCTGGTCATATCATACCTGTCCGACTGTCATCTCATGCAAAACACTGTGTAAGTCTCTGGTCATATCATACCTGTCCGACTGTCATCTCGTGCAAAACACTGTGTAAGTCTCTGGTCATATCATACCTGTCCGACTGTCATCTCATGCAAAACACTGTGTAAGTCTCTGGTCATATCATACCTGTCCGACTGTCATCTCGTGCAAAACACTGTGTAAGTCTCTGGTCATATCATACCTGTCCGACTGTCATCTCGTGCAAAACACTGTGTAAGTCTCTGGTCATATCATACCTGTCCGACTGTCATCTCGTGCAAAACACTGTGTAAGTCTCTGGTCATATCATACCTGTCCGACTGTCATCTCATTCATTACAATTTGTAAGTCTTTGATCATGTCATACCTGTCTGAGTGTCATCTCATGTAATACACTTTGAAAGTCTCTATCTGACCCGCTTCGATACATTAGGACGTCATTTGCAAAAAGACTTAAATACGGGGTTAGTGAGGGGGCTGCCATTCACCCCTACAAATATTGTAGTTGTGGAGGCCCTCATGGGGCCTGAGCTCCCAAGTTCTGACGCCCCTGTGTATCAGGATTTGTTCTTAGAAGTAAATGTAGCCCATCTGATACTGGCGACGTCACAAATCCAGCGACTACTGGTTGAAAGCATGAGGCGATCACTGAATTTCTCATATTTCTATGGAAACTGATTCTTCTCATATTTAATACCGAGTCACAAAATACTTTTTAAAAAAATACATGGTATATTTTAGACCAGTCTAAAGATAACTATATAGGAATTTTATGCTTATGAAGACTCACCATTTTAAAATGAACACAGTGCTATTTTCAAAATGTGTGTATAAACTCTTAGTTTCAATTGTTTATACAACACATGCAGGTAATGCTTCTTTTTCCCTGGGTATCATTCTCACTGGTGGTAAAATATGAGTTTACACAGCCATCAGCACCAGTGCCAGCCAGCAAGCTCTTATCTATTTGAAAAATTACAGGAGAGAGGCTTCCCGCTGGCTTCAATCTGACGTACTGTTGAACGATGAGAGCAAGTGTGAAAATACGTGCAGTGATCTGTGAGTTGAGGTTAAGTTAAGAAACATGTAAAAGAATGGGTTGGGGGGGGGGCGGGGGGAGGTGGTGGGGGAGAGGTGTAAATAATGTGGTAGTTATAGTGAGAGATATAATCCAGTTGTTAGAAGGAAGCAACACTAGTAGTAGTAATGGTTGTGGCAGTGATGTTGGTAGCAGTATAAGAAGAAACAGTAGCAGTAATATTAGTATAAGTGGTAGCTGTGGTAGTAGTAGTTGTGGTAGTAGCACTATTGGTAGTGGCTGTAATAGTAGCAGCAACAAAAGCAATGAATTGTAGAAGCAGAAGTATTATAAGTAGTAGTAGTAAAAAAAGTAGCTGTTGTTTTTCAGCACTTGTAGTATTAGTTGTAGTAGTAATAGTAGCAGCAACAAGTAGTAGTAGTAGCAGCGGCAGCACTAGTAGTAATAGTAATAGTAGTAATAGCAGCAGTAGCGTAGAAGTAACAGCAGCATTAGTAGTAACAGCGTCATCACTAGTAGCAGCAGCAGCAGCATCAGCAGCAGATGTAGTAATAATAGTGGTGGTGGTAGTAGTAGAAGTAGTAGTAAAAACTGTAGTAGTTTTGTTGCAGCGCTTGTTGAAATAGCTGTATCAGTAGCAGCAGTAATTAGTAGTAGTAATAATATAAGCAATAGCAGCAGTAGCAGCATCTGTAGCCGTAAGAGTAGTAGTAGTAGTAGCAGCAGCAGCAGCAGTAGCTGCAATAGCTTCGGTAGTATTAGTTGAATTTTTCACAAATGTCTCCCCCTCCCCATTTTACTGTGATGCCTAGGAAACGAAAGATAGTTTAATTTGGGGAGAAATGTGCAACTCATTAACTTTTTGAGTACCAGAAGGTTTTATTTGAGATATGTACATGTATAAATAAGCAATAGATAAAAACCACGAGTGTGTTGCTTTTCAAGACGCTACTGAAAACTGTGGAATCAATTTTTCTTAGTATGCTGTGAACAACTAAGAAAAAGAGTAGAGCATATTACATGTTGGGTAGGATTCCAAGAAGCGCTAATTATACATCAGACTTTGTTTGAGGTTAAATGAATTAAGAGGGTGGGATACCGAAGCCTCGCAGACAGATAGTAACAGGCAATAATGAAAGTCTGTTTGACGTTAAAGGTGGATAGAATCATCATTTGGGTTCTTGGCAAACGCGAATGGACGTCGCTTAGTGCAGTAACGCCTGACATTCGACACCCTAACATCTAGTATGAGAATGGCGGTCGAAACAGTCACTGCAGCCTTCAGCTGGCTAGAGAATCTGCTGTACATGCATGTCGTAACCAGCTCAGCGAGTATGTTGAAAAAAGTAGAGACTTGTATGCTCAGAAGTCCCATGTATTTGGCATCCTTTTGATATTTTCCCCAGGGAACTGCCGGTGTATTAGAAAATAAAAAGCCGGATAAATTGGCTAGTTATGCACAACTTGGTGATGAACTGATACAGGAAAAGTTAAATCAGCGGTTCTCAAACTGTGTGTCGGGGCACCCATCGGTGCCACGAAGGTATAACATGGGTGCCCCGGCAATAATCAAGAATTTTTCTAAATCTGCTTGAGATCAGGGAAGTCAGCAGTTTAAAACAGAAATACCTTGAAGGAAGCCAAGAAGAGTTCTGGATGCAAGTGTATTCAGAAAACAATGCTACTGACAAGGCTACACTCATTCTAAAGCATACGCTTCCATTTAAAAAAAAAAAAACATACAGGAGCAACCCTCAAGTGATTTGAGGGTAAAATTAACTAAACTTCCCAATAAACATAAGGGAAATAAGAAAAATGCATCCAAACAGTTTCATTCATCGCATTCAAGACAGTTGAACATAAAATTTACTTTTTTTTTTTCCCCTTTCTTATTTTCCTAAGAAATATTTTTTTCTGACAAGAGTGTCGCAGCGAAAAAAGTTTAGGAAACGCTGAGCTAGATGTTGTAAGGGCCCCTTGGGGTGACTGAACAGTAAGCACATACAGTCCATCACGGTCTGAAAGAATGGCGAGGCGAAGAGTAAACAGGGGATCTGGTCGACGATCAGCGTTCAGGGGAAAGGTGAGACGGATATACATTCAGGATGTTACTGGTACCATCGGAATAGGAACTCGACGCTTTTCATGGCGTTAGTAAAAATATTGTGTTAAACAGCGTTCTTTATCTTTTTCAAATTCACATGTTTGCATTTCAAAATTGGTGCCATTTGGCCTATAACTTTATTGGCTTTATGGCTTCGGTGTTGGATTTCTTTATTAATTCTTCCCTTCTAAAAAAAAAAATTTATAATATTTCGCCTGTTTTAACTGGTGTTCATCAATTTTGATATTGGTGGTTGTTCTTTTCCTGGAGAATATCATAACTTCTGTTTTATCTACGTCGATCTCCATATCGTAGTTGTCGCATTCTGAGCCTATTCATATTTTCTTGTAGTTGTGCTGCTGTTGGTGCTATGATTGGCTGGTTTTCGGCGACAGCAACTCATTTAGTGATTCTCAGATGTTTACGTGGGTCAGCCTCAGGTCTAAGGTTGGCACCGATAACACTATGTTATTGTGAATGTGTTATTTTTAATCAGCGGTTCTCAACCTTTGTGTGTGTGTGTGTGGGGGGGGGGTGGGAACGTTCCTTCGACAGGGGTCGCCTAAGACCATCGGAAAACACATACTCATTAAAGTTATGAAGGAAAACAATTGTTTGGGGGTCGCCACAACATGAGGAAGCTGTATTAAAGGGTCGCGGCATTGGAAAGGTTGATAGCCACTGTTTATAATGGCTGTAGCCATGCTTATGTTTTTATGTCTAAATAACGGCGTGGGTTGAAATTTACGTGCACTGGCTCTTTGGCGGGTTGTTAATATTTCTCAGTCAATTCTGCATTCTTCCGAGAATATTCTTTCTAGACATTTAATTATAGGTGGATATAATATAACTCGAGTTAACAAAGGATTTAAAGAAATCTATCTGAGTCAAAGAGAAGAGTGTATGAGGCGGGAGAATTGGCAAAGAGACAGAGTATCTTTCAGTCCTACTGTGAAAACATTGATGTTCTGCTTCTTCTTATTCGTTCGACATCAGTCATGCTAAACATTGAGTCCCGTCTGGGTCACAAATAGGATTGTGCGTTTAAGGTCGCCACCGGTCCCCCATAGCTTCTCTTGCAATGTGGCTCCCTTGGGCCAGATCCACAGTCTTTGCTGGGAGAGGTAAGGGCAGTACTGTAGTATGTGCCCAGGGGTCTGTCTTTCTGCTCCACAATGCTCTGCAAAATACGTGCTAGATAAAAATTTTGATTCTACTACGATTATTTTTCTGCTTTCCCTGTAGTTTGATAAGAGAAGAGTCGAGTCTGCAGGTAACAATCTAGAAAGCACTTAAAACACCTTACTTTAACACGCGCAGGTAATACAACCCGGCAATTCTGGAAACGTTAAAAACCTGGACTGGCAACCAACCCAAAACAAATATTTCCTTGTGACAGACTGCCAGATTTCATCAAAACATCATTATATTCGACATTTGTTTTCCATGTCGAAACAATTTTTCACACGTGTATTGGCACCGAGATGTAGATTTGTTATCATAATTGACGTCACTGCACATTGTGCATTCCTTTGCGTGCTCAATTTTCCGATGTAGCAGTTACTCCAAGGTATCTATCTCTACATATTTAGTGTTCCCACGAGAAGGTGGTTACAGTGTATCATGCCATGGCCTTGAAGACAGCCCAGACGTGCATCACCAAGCTTTACTCCTTGCTCACGCCATCGTGTTAGCGTCAGCGATTCATCGTGTTCACCCACCTTAGTCCATACAGTGTTGATGATATTCGCGCTTCCTCACGGTGCATTACTTGCCAGCTGGTCAGCTCTCTCATTACCATTTACCCCTACGTACTCAAGTGTGTATATCTAGATGATGGAGGTTAACTTTAGAATACTTTCTACCCATTTAGAGCGTAAACTACTTCATGTGATTTACTGAAGCGTGCTCGCGAAATCTGAAACGATTACCATATGTGTGGCTGCTTGTTCTGCTGCTACCCGAGTTTGTGCTCTAGAAGCAGCGGTTATCTCCACTGAAAGTGTGGATATACAGAATCATAGATAGTATTTCATGGAAACAAAAACAAAATCAAATACAGAGTTTGTATGAGTACTGGGAAAGAAAAATTGAGCACCTGACAGAAGTAAACACATGGATTAATAGAACATTGTAGATACATTAAAATGCAAAGCATACTATTATAACTAGAGCTTTGAGGGGGGGGGGGGGAGAGAGGAGGGAGAGTACCCAGTACATGTCTTTTCGCAATCATTTTTTTCTTTATTTTTTGAAGCTTCACTTCATGGTCAGTCACCATCATCCTTGTGTGCCGCTATACCCCATATACGCTCTATTCAGTCTATCCTGTGTAATCCTCTCGACACTATGGATAGTGACTACCAGCTTCTGTGTGTTTGTGTGTGTGATTTTAATGAAAACAATGTCTCTATTATAACCAAGAAAAGGTGGAAGGATAACATCCAAGAAACACTATAGCGCCCCAAAAAAAATAGTTGACTGCTGGCTGAGAGCATCTTCTTTTTCGTGTTCACCGGCTGTAAACCGGTGGAAAATTCTGGTTGTTTGTCAACTTCTAGACTTTAATGTTGTTCCAGAACTTAAGCAAGAAACAGAATCCTGGTATCTTCGTCGATGGTTAAAGAATTATTATGTTAAAGAATACGTGTAGTAAGATTCTGGAAAGAATAGTGGCAGGCAAATTATAGGATTATCTAGGATAAGACCTACTCTTACCGAGAGGGTCAGAAATTACTGACCACGAAAGGAAATTTTGGAAAATGCCACAATCCTGGCTTACAATGTATATGTCGGGTTTCCTAATAAGCATGAAACAGCGGTGATGTCTCTGAATCTAGAAGATGCATATGACAGGGTTAGATATGCTGTTTTACTGTACACACTTAATAATATGAAGGGCAGCTCTTGGATCGTCAACTGGATTGCAGCAGTCCCTGACGATGTCTTAGTCTGCAGAAAGAGGAGAAATAGAACAGAAAAATCTAGAGAATTCCAGATCGCGGTAGATAAGGTAGGTGAGAGGAAACAGGGGTGGTCATCAACCCAGATCAGACAGCAGTTTTGTGGTGTTCTCTGAATATCAGAATTTTATAGACGTGACGCAGAACATCACAATAAACGGCAGTAACATAAACAAAGAGATAATTCACTAAAATATCTAGGAATTACTTTTGACAGGAGTCTATCTTTCAAATACCCAGTGGAAGCGGTAGTTTTAAAGATAGGGAGAAGACTCAATGCTTTGAAAATGATGACATCAGCGGACATAAAACAGAAAATGCTCTATACACTCTAGCAGCAACTAATTATTTCAGTGAATAAGTATGGTTTGGGAATGCTAACATTATCTCATATCCAAACTGAGAAGCTAGATCACATACAAAATGAAGCCATGCAAGTCATTTTGGGATGTATACAGAACAAGCCAGTTGTCTGCGCGTGTGTGGCACTTAGGTACACTGCTGTCCATATATTAAAGTTATAAGGTTTTCAGTGCTGGTGTACTAAGTATGTTGTGCCTCTTCTTTGCTACCTATATATATATATATATATATATATATATATATATATATATACACACACACACACACACACACACACACACACATACACGCATGCAAACACACACACAGAGAGAGAGAGAGATGGGTCTGTAGGGACAGATAAGCAAACAAGAGAAAGAAAAAGATCAGGAAAAAGAGGTGGTGGAAGCAGAAGGATGTAAAAGAAAACGAGGAAGAAGGAGAGAGATTGGAAAAGGAAAAATTAGATGAGAGGAAGAATGAGAAGCAGGAAACAGAAAATAATAAACGAGGGGGAAGATGCTGAGGTAGAAAAAAAAAGGCACAACAAATTTAGTACACCAGCACTGAAGACTTTTCTTCTTGAGCATTCTGAACTCTTGAGGTACACTGCTGCAGATATTACCCACCTCTATTCATCTCTGTGACTGGCCTTCTCTTTCCAGCTGGTGATTCCAACAAAAGTGTTCACAGGTCTACCTACAATTATCTCTGCCTTATCTACTTGGTCTGCCTCATGGTCACCCATTCAACTCCTTCATGCACACAGCATCAAAATATCAGGGTGAAAATTACCCTCATATACAGCAAATAACCACATAACTGTGAAACACGAACAGCAAAACACTGCAGTATTTTAATTAGTTATTCCTCACATACATACACCCAAGTATAAACAATATGGCTGGAACACATAAGAACAATCATAAATACTAACTCCTGAAATCATAACAGAAGGAAGCTGAAGACCCAATAAACCTCCTCACGAGAAAGCAAGAGACAGTCAATATTTAGACTGCGAACTAGACACAGCTGACTCTACAGTCATATGTACAAGAAATTCAAGATTGGGAACGAAGAACTGTGCCCATGGCCCCAGAAAATCCTGAACATGCGCTTCAGACATGCAGCAGAAAGATCCCAAGCCTGGTCAGTGAGTATTCCAGTTGAAATCATGCTGTATGGATCAATGGAGGATATGTGTCGCTCCACAGCCATCATATAGGCCTGTGGCCTCCTCCTCTGAGAACCAGTGGCAAGGAGAATGCTAAGAAAAAGAGTAACACATTAAAATAACTGATGCCACAATCAAACATGAAACACTCAAAACTGTGAATACACTCTAGAAAATACACACATTCAGCTTCCACAATAAAAAATACACAGATATACTGGAAATGATTATGTTGTTTGTCTAACATGGTGGAACCACATTGTTATCCGTTCCCAATTCTTCAGGTGGTTAACAAAATGATCTGAATTTAATTAGATTCCACAATAAGAAAATATACAAAGGGAATTCACTGTACAAATGAGTGAATGATTAAACAAGTCAGTCAGTTAATTTTCGAATAATAAATCAATGAGTGGGTAAATGAATGGTTGAGTGAGTTGATGACTGAATGCACTGCAAAGTGAGTCAATGAGCAAATGAGTAAGTGAATTGTTAATTGAATGAAATAGCGCCACACCACAGTTATTTAGGACACTGCTATAGGTGTCATTAGAAGTCACAATGGATCTACCTGAGAGTCATGGAATCAATAGTCTGCATACAAAGAAGCCAGATCTGTAAAACAGATGAGTGCATAAAACTAAAGTTCTGGAACAAGACCAAAGTCCAGAAGTAAGCAAACGACTATGACTTTATGCCCAAGTTTACAGCCAGTGAATGCTAACAAGAAGCAGAAGAAGAGGAGGAGAAGGAAGAAGGTGGCAGCAGAGGAGGAAGAGAAGAAGAGATTGCAAAAGGTTTAGAAAACTATTCATGTGGTTCTTTGGCTTAGAGTCAGTGAATGTGTTTGACAGTTTCATGATCCTTGATGTGGTAGGGTTTGATTTTCTACGGTACTGATTTATTACATGTTTTTGAAATGTTCCACATGGCATTTAGTCAGTGTTACAAGAGCAGCACTGTAGAAGAAACTGGGTTCTCACCATGTAATATTTGTAAAGACTACAGTGAGTGTGCTGCAGCCAATCTTCATTGTGGAGACGACTCACAGTTTCTTCTTCTTCTTTGCGTTCACCAGCTGTACATTCTGGCGTAAAGTTCTGGTTGTTCATCCACTTCTGGACTGCAGTCCTGCTCCAGAACCTGGGTGTTGCATGTGCATCAGTTTTACAGATCTGATTCTATTGAATGCAGACTGCTGGTTCCTTGCCTCTCAGGCAGATGCACTTCGACTTCAAAGGAAGCTCCCCAGTTAGTCGACTCTTACGACATGCTTTTGGGGAGGCAGTGGGTCTATTCTTGTTTTCCCCACAATAGGGCCCCGGAACCCACACGGGGGACTCACAGTTTGATTAGAAGGAAACTGTTCCCAGCTACCTGACTGCAGAAATCAAGGGGAAGCTACCAGATTATTGTTCTCAGTAAAAGTCTGCGATCAGAACAAGAAAAATATAATCATAAATTACAGCATATGGGTCAGCTGACCTGCTGTACAGGTCGAGTTCAAGACTGTTAGCTCAGAATTCTGAGTTAGGCATATATGTCACTAATTCATAATATCTGCCATATAAATCAACCCATAGCTTTGGAAAGATCTGTTAAGCTTGAAAACGACTTATATGCCACAATTTATGATAACTCAACGTCAAGTGTTCATCAAGGAATGTTTAGTACTGCATGGTCATAACATACTTTACAATCAGACTCCTAGGTAAAACTGTTCAATTCATCTTTTTTGTCCCAGAAACCCTTACAGAAAAAAAAGATCATAAACTCTAAAAAAAACCCAGGAAAACTGATCCTTGAAATAAAAATAAAAAAATAAACCAGGTTATTACCAAATTTGATAAAAATATATTTACGTGCATTTAAAAAATGACTTTCTGTATTATCTCATAATTCCTAAAAAGCCATTCTTTTCACAACAAACTCCAACAATACTATTTTAAGTAAATATAATCATATTCAACACTGAGCAGGCACAAACAGAAACAATACTTTTAACTAGGCTTGTCAGAGACTGCTAAAGCAGCAATGCTGATTTAGCAGCTTCTTTGGAATGAGTAACTAATAGTTTCATCATAATATTGGCATCTTGGGGCCAAAGGGTTGAAACTTAACAACACAGAAACAAACAAGCAAGATAAATGAGAAACATAAGTATAGCTTATTTTTTTTTTGTATGGCTGTTCTGACAGTTGACAAATGGCATTGAGATTCCATGATAAAACACAAACAGGCAAGTACATAAAATTCCAGATGTAACTGGCACATCAACACAAATAAGGAACACTGCCTGGCACTGGTCTGTCTATTCTTAGTCATCAGCTTTGCGTTTGGGTCGCTTGGGGTTCCGTGACCGGCTCTTTGCTTTGCACAATGGACAGATAGGGGCATTGCGATGAATCTGTTGGTGGCAGGATAAACATGCCTGGGGAGAAAAAAGATTCAGTCAACGAAGGTTCCGGAAAGAGTCATTGCAAAACTAGAATCAGGCTTCACACTAGCCAAGATCCCCAGCAGTCTTCATAAAAATTGCTTTTGTGAACCAAACAATGCTGCTGTAATGAACCCATGACCTTCAGAACATGAGGCGAATGGCTTGACCATGTCACCATGAAGACCCCCCCCACCTTACCACATGGACAGTTTAGCATCATGGCATTTAAGAACATTAGTATCAGAAATGATTGGCAGTAAACAAGACACAAGGCTGTGGACAAACAAAACTACCAACACTATAGGCGTGGATTATAAGAAGAACACCTCTGTCACTTCTTAATGCTGTTGTCTATCTCCTTGTTCCTCATCTTCTTTTCTGCGTTCACTGGCTGTAAACTCCGGCAGGAAAGTTCTGGTTGTTTGTCCTCCTCTGGACTTTAGTCTTGTTCCAGAACCTGAGTGTTGCCAGCACATCTATTGCACAGATCATGCGCATTTGTATGCAGACTGTTGATTCCTTGCCTCTCAGGCAGATGCACTCCGTCTTTGAAGAAAGCCCTCAATTAGTTGACACTTACTACATTCTTGTTGGGGAAGCAGTGGGTCTATTTTTGTTGTCCCCACAGTGGGGTCCAAGAACCCATTGAGGTGGTCTATCCATGAACCTCCATCTGGCAAAGGATCTAAGAAAATGCAAGCATACTTCCGGTTCAAAATACTAATACAATAATCTTGCGAAACAATTTTTTCTAAAAGGAAAGCTATTTAATCCCTTGCCAATTTTTCCAACTTCTGAACGTTCAAATCCAAGGTGTCTTTTATATCTTGTGTCATACTAGCTGACCCGCACCTCTTCTTCTAGGCATTCGCAATATCTGATATAACATCATCATCATCATAGTCTCCTAACATCAGGTGTTGCATCTTACTGTTGACTGTCGTATCGTATCGCTCTAATCATACTGCTGTAAGCAGATGCAATGAATTGATGTTTGCATGTATGACACCTGTCGGTTCAGCCAAATTCTATATTCAGGTCTTTCTTAGGCCACCTATTTTCCCTCTCCCCTATTCCGAGCTCTGTAGTATCGTTCTGATGAGGATGGTAGATCTTTTTACATGTCCACGTCCTTTTTTCATCTCCTCACTGTTGTTAAAATAAGTTCATAGTTGCCAGTGATGAAGAGCTTCCAAACTGATCTCCATCCATGGACTGTATACTATAAACTGTGGTGTCAGCTCAAGGTCTCTTAGGTTCCCTAAAATTTAGTTTTCAGGTCTACTGGGTGTGGCCATATGTTGCTTCATAGCTCTCCAGAAAAGGACAGTCTTACAAGACATGTTCTGGGCCTGTTAAGCAGGAAGACACTTGCAGAAAGCTGTCTGACTGAGCCTGCAATGTCCAGTGCGTAAGCGAAACATGGTGACGTAATCTGTACTGTTCATATGACTGAAGAAATTTTTTTCATGCTTATAACCAGTGTTTGTTTACAACACTGTATCTCATATTATATATATATATATATATATATATATATATATATATATATATATATATATATATATATATATATATATATATATATATATATATATGTTTGTGTTGCTGCATGCATGTGTGTGTAAAGAGTTAAAAGCAAGTACTTACTTTCATAGGTGGAGGTTGTTGCCGGAATGCCTGTCTGTCATTTTTATTGGGTTGTATTTGAATCTGATGGGCTGCCGCAGCTGCTACTGCAAGGGTTTGTGGGATAGTGGGTTCGGGAGGGTCAGCATTCCATTCTGTGGTTGGGGGTTTCTCAAAAAATCTGAGAAAGAAACAACATAAAATGCTGGCAAGAGCTCTAGGGTTGAGATTAGAACCACAGCAGTTCAGTGACTTGCTGGGAATTAAACAGTTAATTCATTAAGAACAGCTTAATGTAATCACTTAGCCACAGTTTGCATGAAACTAAAACAACACATTATCAAATGCCTAAAATTGTATATTAACTTCCCTGTGTGGATTCTGGGGCCCTATTCAGGAGAAAAAATAGTAGACCCACTGCCAGCCTAACAACACTGTTATAAGAGGTGCCTAATTAAGGGTTTTTTCTTTATCTGACTGACAGGTGAGGAACCAACAGTCTGCATTCAAATAAGCCAGATTTGTAAAACTTGTGCATGCAAAACTGGTGCCAAAGTTCCAAAGTTGACAAGCAACCAGAACTTTCCACAGGAGTGTAGAGCTGGTACAGCACTTTAAAAAGTATCTACATTTTAACTACTGTCTACAAAAGCACTTTAAAAAGTATCTATAACAGCAGTTTAAAAAGTATACATAAAAGCACTTTAACAAGTATATGTATCTACAACAGCACTTTAACGACTGTCTACAACTGCACTGCACGATGGTCTAGAATTGTACTTTAACAAGTATCTACAACAGTACTTAACTGTCTACAACAACACTTAAACAAGTGTCTTTAACAGTATTTAACAACTGTCTCTAACAGCACTTTGACAAGTGCCTACAACAGCACTTTAACAACTGTATAAATGAGCAGATTATTGACTGTCTAAATTAGCATATTGATAACAGCACTAATAAATGTTTAAATTACCATATTAATAACTGTCTAACTTAACAGATAACCGACTGTCTAAATTAGCATATTAATAACAGCACTAATAACTGTTTAAATTACCATATTAATAACTAACTTAACAGATAACCGACTGTTTAAATTAGCATATTAGTTCAACACCTATAGCTGTGATGGAGAAAATGGGGATGACCCAAGCACTCAGTGAACGCAGAGACACCAAGATGCTTTTACAAGCAGAAAAGTTTCTTAGTATGCCCAGTCACCCTCTGAATGAAAGATTCCAAAATTTAGCTTTGGGACGACTAAAGAGAAGTAGTTTTATCCACCAGGCCAAACGGCTCGGCAGACAAACCACTGATTTACCTGCAACTGATAGATCCTTAAATGCTGTCCCAGAACGGACCCCCTGGAGAGAGGAGTATAAGTTTCCAATACACATCAAGACTGAAGTGAAAGGGGTATTTGACAAGGAAGAACAAAACAGTGTGCAGCGCAAAACAGCCACCCTCAGTCTACTTGATGATGAATACCTGCAGAACCTTTGGGTCCGTGTTTACACAGATAAGTCAGCAGAAAGCGCAGTCAGAAACGGAGGTGCGGGAGTGTACATTGAGTATCCTAATAATTCCAGGGATACAGCCAAGGGTATTTTTCACAACCAGTGGTATTCCTGACAGATGCAAAAGCAGTACTTCAGTCACTCCAGTCTGGAAAATTACCAAGCATACGGACACTATTATCCGAACTAGGCAACCGCTGTAAATTAGTAATGCAGTGGATACCTTCCCACTGTGGAGTTCCCGGAAACGAAAAAGCTGATAAACTAGCTAAGGAAGGTGCAACAGAAGAACAACCTAACATACCAGTCTCTTATCAACAGAAGAAGAGAATGATCAAATCAATCAGAATGCCACCGAAACTGGCACAAGATGATTACCATATTATGGACAGACCAGAGCAAGTCATTATCCTTCGCCTTAGAAAGGGCACAATCGACTTCGCTCCCACATGTACAACAAATTTAAGATTGGCCAATCAGCCATGTGTACTTGTGGACTGGCACCTGAAACAACAGATCACATCCTTCAAGACTGTCCCAGATTCAACGCTTTCAGGCAAAACCTTTGGCCAAAAGAGACACTTGTGGAAGTCAAACTTTACGGGCCGCTTAGTGAATTACAAAAGACAGTGAAATTCATACTAGAGACAGCTTTGCAGATATAGACAATTTATTTCATGCGAACGAAAGAAGAAGAAGCATATTAGTAACACCACTAATAAATGTTTAAATTAACATATTAATAACTGTCTAACTTAACAGATTACCGACTGTCTAAATTAGCATGTTAATAACAGCACTAATAACTGTTTAAATTAACATATTAATAACTGACTAATTTAACAGATTACCGACTGTCTAAATTAGCATATTAGTAACAGCACTAATAACTGTTTAAATTAACATATTGATAACTATCTAAATTACCAGATTAACAACTGTCTAAACAAGCATATTAATAACTACCTAAAACAACACATTAATAGTTGGCTCAAACACAAATGCCAGCAACAGCATATCAACAGTCCAGAGAGAGAAAACTGAGACACTATAGCTGTGGAAGACCTGCTGATCCCTCACATTTATGAAGGTCTGCGACTGACCCTATACTTGTTAATAATCCTTCTGAAGAAATGGGAGCCACCGTAGTGTAGCAGCTAGACATCCACCTCCAGGTCTGAATGTTGTGGGTTCAGGTCCTGATGGAGCCGGATATTTTCAAAACTGACCTTGACTCTCAGGTTGAACCAGCCTTAAATGGCTACCAGGTAAAGTCACGGGAAGCAAAGGCGGTCAGCGCGATGTTGACCACATCATTCACCGAGTGCCGACTGGCCTATGAAATGCAAGTCTTGTCCTAAATGCTCAATACACCTGAAGGGGTGGAAAAGGGTCCATTACTTTTTAATTTAATTTTATTTACTGAAAAAATTATAAACTTAGAATTGTATTCTAAAGTTGAGGTGTTGTGTGTGAGTGAATGCATGTGTGTGTGTGTGTTGCGGCTCCTCAAATGGGAAACAATGGCCACTAGGCTGGGCAAGAAAGAAATGTCAATGTAATCCTTACTCAGGTTTAAGTCCCTCTGCTTCGTCGCTGACATCTGACTGTACATCCAGGCCAGCCCTGATCCGCATGATGTCAATTTCCTCTTTCAAAGGCCTACACTCATCAAATAACCGTTTGGCATTCTCGTGTGCCTTGGATCTCTCTTCTTCAGCTTGTTTAATTGTGGACTCCATCTGTTGATGACCAAAATTGTTAATCCTAGGTTAATTGGCCAAATTAAATGAGATAAATTCAACACCAAAAAATGTGTTTTAACGTCATCAAATTTTAGAGCTCTGCACTGTAAAATCCCGATCATAATATATAAAAAAACTGACAGAACCAACTGTTCCATATGGCTCTGAAACCGGGAGGACATCTAAGTGAGGCCAAGCCTTATTACACACTTCTGAGAACATGGCCTTTTGACGAATCTTTGGATACATCAAAGATGCAAACAGCAAATACAAAAAGTAAAGCAACAACAAAATTAACAATCTATTTCAATCACCACTAATTACTGGCACATGAGGGTTAACTCTTTGAGTCCCAGGGAGTTTAGCATCACAGGCCCAGGGGGTAGTAAAGAAAGTAATAAAATCAGTGCATCATGCGTTTAAGTGGCTACTAGGTAGGAACCTATGTACGTATGATGCGTTCCTTGTGATTCAAAGAGTAAATAGACTGTGCTG